GAAATGACTAGAGGTGTGCAGAAGTTGGGAGATGACATAGAGAGGTGTGCCAGATGGGGGAGATGACTAGAGATGTGCCAGAGGTTGGGAGATGACTAGAGGTGTGCCAGGGTTGGGAGATGACTAGAGATGTGCCAGAGGTTGGGAGATGACTAGAGGTGTGCCAGAGGTTGGGAGATGGACGTAGAGTGTCAGAGGTTGGGAGGATGACTAGAGATGTGCCAGAGGTTGGGGGATGACTAGAGATGTGCCAGAGGTTGGGAGATGACTAGAGATGTGCAGAGGTTGGAGATGACTAGGTGTGCCAAGAGGTTGGGAGATGATAGAGAGTGTGCCAGAGGTTGGGGGATGACTAGCAGATGTGCCAGAGGTTGGGAGATGACTAAGAGATGTGCCAGAGGTGGGAGTGACTAGAGATGTGTCCAGAGGTTTGGGGGATGGACTAGAGATGTGCCAGCAGGGTTGGGGAGATGACTAGAGGTGCTGCCCAGAGGTGTGTGGAGTGAACATAGGAGATTGTTGCCAGAGGGTTGGGAGATGACTAGAGATGTGCCAGAGGTTGGGAGATGACTAGAGATGTGCGGCAGAAGTCAAGCTGTTCGATCCCCCGGTGGTCGCGCACTGCACAATATGTAAAGTACGCACTTTCTCCTCACTCCCCCGCCCCGACCTGCCCATCAAGACTCACACGATGAAAAGTTTTTTTCTTCTTTTTTGTTTGTTTTGTTTTTTGAACATTTTAGTTAACATTGTATATCTCTTGCCTCTCCCTAGAGAAGGGTCCAGTTATTGCCTCCCCTCCACAATGCTCACAATCCCTAAGATTGGTACCCCCCCACCGCCCCCGAATTCCTGGTGAACATTAACACCATTTGGAGAACCATAGTTTTAATCAGTCAGTACCAATTTGATGGCGTGTAGATTGGGACCATTTCCATGTTTGTGTCGCCTCACTTTGGATAATGGTTAAGCTTAATCCAGGATAGCATAAAATGGTGCTAGCTCACTGTCATTCTTTAGAATTGAGTAAAATTCCATTGTGAGCATATACCACATTTTATTTATCCACTCATGAATTGACGGCCACTTGGGTAGTTTCCATGACTGCAATAGTGAATTGTGCTGCCATAAGCTTCGGGGTGCAGATGTCTTTATAATAGAGTGTCTTATGCTCTTTTGGGTAGATGCCAACAATGCTATTGCAGGGTCGAATGGTATTTGTATATCTAGCTGTTTGTGGTATCTCCAAATTCTTTTCTACAAAGATTGCACCAATATGCAGTCCCACCAGTAGTCTAAGAGTGTTCCTCTCTCTCTGCATCCTCGCCAGCATTTGTTGTTTTGGGATTTCTTGATATAGGCCATTCTTACTGGGGTTAGGTGGAATCTCATTGTGGTTTGCATTTCTCTGATGACTAGAGATATTGAGCATTTTTTTTATATGTTTGCAGGACATTATTCTGTCTTCTTTGGAGAAGTTTCTGTTCATTTCCATCACCCATTTCTTGATGGGATTGTTTGATTTTTTTTTGTTAATTCTTTTGAGTTCTAGATAAGATTGTTGTTATTAGGACCTTTAGCAGAGGTGTAGAAAGCAATATTTTTCCTACTCTGTGGGTTGTCTATTTGCTCCACTGATGGTTTCCTTGGCTGTGCAGAACCTTGTTAATTTGATCAAGATCCCATTTGTTTATTTTTGATGCTACAGTGATTGCCTTGGGGTTTTCCTCAAAAATCTTGGCCTAGACCAATATCTGATAGGTTTTCCCAACATCTTTTGCCTAGGCATTTTGTTTTTTTTCTTTTTTTTTTTGAAGAGCAGAGTCTCACCCTTTGTTGCTCCCCAGGCTAGAGTGAGTGCGTGGCAGCTCAGCGCCTAGCTTCACAGCAACGCTCCAAAACTCTGGCTTGAGTGATTCCTTCGGGGGGGGACCTCCAGCCCCCCGAGTAGCTGGGACTACAGGCATGCGACCATGCGGGCTAATTTTTTTTATACTATATACAGTTGGCCAATTAATTTCTTTCTATTTAAGTAGCAGACGGGGTCTCGCCTCTTGCTCAGGCTGGTTTTGAACTCTCTGACCTCGGAGCAATCCCGCGCCGCCTCCGGCTCCAAGAGCTACGGAACTTTACAGGCCATGAGCCCACGCGCCGCACCTTTTTCTAGGATTCTTAAGGTTTCCATGCCCTTAAAGATTTAAATCTGTTATCCACTCTTGAGTGAATTTTTGTGAGAGGTGAACGAGGTAGGGATCCTGATTCACCTCTTCTGCATGTAGCTAACCAGTTTTCCCAGCACCATTTATTGAAGAGAGATTCTTTTCCCCAGTGTATATTTTTGTCAACTTTATCAAAGATTAGATTACCATATACTGATGGTTTCATCTCTGGTATCTCAGATCTATTCCAGATATCCATGCTTCTGTTCTTGTGCCCAATACCAGGCTGATTTAACTACTATTGCTTTATAGACAGCTTGAGTCAGGAAGACCTGATGCCTCCTAGTTTGTTCTTTTTATTTAAGATTGCTTGCGTATACGAGGTTTTTTCTGGTTCCATACGAAGTGAAGAATTATTTTTTCTAGATCTGTAAAGAATGCTGATGGTATTTTGATGGGGATTGCATTTATTCTGTAGCTCACTTTAGGTAATATTGACATTTTAACTATATTGATTCATCCAATCCATGAACAAGGTAGATTTTTCCATTGTTTAAATCTTCTGCAATTTCTTTTTTAGTGTTTCATAGTTCTCGCTATATAAATCTTTTGTATCTTTTGTTAAGGATACTCCTAGATATTTAATTTTCTTTGGGACTATAGTAAAGGATATTGCGTTTTTGATTTGAGTTTCTGCTTGGTGGTTCTTGGAATATATGAATGCTTCTGATTTGTGTATATTGATTTTATAAGCTGAAAGTTTACCAAATTCAGTTATCAAGTCTAGGAGTCTCTTGGAAGAGTCCATGGGATTTTCTAGGTATAATATCATATCATCAGCAAAGAGTGAGAATTTGATTTCATCTGCCCCCACTTGCATGCCCTTAATACCCCTCTCCTGCTTGATTGCTGTTGCTAGGACTTTAAGCACTATATTGAATAGCAGAAGAGATAGTGGGCATCCTCGTCTAGTTCCGGATCAAAGGGGGAAAGATTTCAACTTTTCCCCGTTTATAATGATATTAGCAGTGGGTTTGTTGTAGATGGATTTGATAAATTTAAGATATGAGCTGTCTATGCCTATTTTGTTAATAAGAGTTTTTATCATAAAGGTGTGTTGGACTTTGTCAAATGCTTTTTCTGCATCTTTTGACAGAATCATATGGTCTTTGTTCCTGATTTTATTTATGAAGTGAATTGTATTTATAGACTTGCGTATGTTGAACCATCCTTGCATCTCTGGAATAAAGCCCACCTGGTCATGGTGAATTATTTTTTTGATGTGCTGCTGAATTCTATTCGCTGAAATTTTATTTAGGATTTTTGCATCTGTATTCATGAGGGATATTGGTCTGTAATTTTCTTTTTGTTGTTGTTGTGTCCTTTCCTGGCTTTGGTATCAAGGTGATATTGGCTTCGTAGAATGAGTTAGGAAGGATACCATCCTTCTCAATGGTGTGGAATAGTTTCTGTAGTATAGGTATGAGATCATCTTTGTATGTTTGGTAGAATTCTAAAGTGTAGCCATCTGGCCCGGGACTTTTACGTTTAGGGAGGTTTTTAATTACTGCTTCAATTTCTGAGCTTGAGATTGGTCTCTTCAGGAATTCTGTTGCCTCCTAGGTGAACTTAGGGAGGTTGTATGAATCCAAGAATTTGTCAATTTTGTCTTTGTTCTGTAGTTTTGGGGCATACAGTTTTTTATAGTAGTCAAATATAATGTTTTGTATTTCTGTGATGTCTGTTGTGATTTCTCCTTTTTCATTTCTTATTGAGTTTATTAGAGTCCTTTCACTTTGGGTCCTTGTCAGTCTAGCAAGAGGGCCATCAATTTTGTTTATCTTTTCGAAAAACCAGCTTCTGGTTTTTGTTGATCTTTAGTATAGTTCTCTTGTTCTCCATTTCATTCAGTTCTGCTTTGATCTTTTGTTATTTCTTTTCTTCTATTAGGATTGGAAATTGTTTGCTCTTCTTTTTCCAATTCTTTGAGCTTATTCATTAGGTTGTCGGTATCTAAGCTTTCTGTTTTTTGGATGTGAACGTTAATTGCTATTAGTTTTCCTCTTAGGTAAGCTTTTGCTGTATCCCACAGGTTTTGGTAAGAAGTATCACTATTATCATTTTGTTCGAAGAAATTCTTGATTTCCCTCGTCCCACGTCAGAGTTGGAAAATCACTCCCTTTCCTATTTCCACCCTGTTAGGGTGGGATCTATTCGTTAGGAGCAAAGCAGAAGCAATTGGGTGTGATGGAGAACTGCCTGAGGGGGAACACCACCTGGGGAGCAATCTCTCTCCCTCTTCCCTCCCCTCCCTGGTGGGACTTGAGACACTGGGATCTGCCAGGAGGCTTCACCAAGGAGTGAGCTCCTTCCCTCTTCTGCTCCCTCACCAGCGCTTGAGCTGCCAGGGACCACTGAGAAGCTCCACTGAGGGGTGAAAACTATCCCTTTTCCGTGAGTCGCCAGCGGAGCTTGGGCGATCTTGGGCAGATCCCTGGCTCCCGCCCTCCCTTCCGCCCCTTCCCCAGCAGGGCTCAAGCGGCTGGGGTCCGCAGACAAGTTCCACCGAGGGGTGAAAACTTTCCTCGTCCCCAGCGGCCGGGCTTGGGCTGTTGGAGACCCCTGGGAGGGTCCGGGGAGGATGGCGCTCGCCCCCTCTTCCGCTCCCTCCCCAGCAGCACTTGGGTCGCCTGAATCCACCGGGCAACTCAGTCAAATGAGCAATCTGTCTCGCTTTTCTGTCCCTTCACAAGCGAGGCATAAGCCACTGGTGTTTACAGATCTCCCAGCAAAGGCGACCTTGCACCACGCCCTGGAGATTTCAAATTGCTTTCTGCTCCTGCCTCCTCTCCAACCTGCCTGCCTGTCTAAAGTATATAGGAGGATGTGCATAGGTTATATATGCAAATATTACACAATTTTATATAGGGGACTTGAGTATCTGCAGATTTTGGTATCTGTGGGAGGTCTTGGAATGAATCCCCATGGATACTGAGGGGGGCTGTAATACATTTTACAAGGTGAATAAGTAAACAAATAAATGTATATCTTTATATTATATACACGTTGATAAATGCTTACAAAATAACTTACTATGTGATTTATGCTCTGATATATCCTATTTCATATTTGTAAACCTACTGTGTTGATTTCACAACCTCCTAATGGGTCACGAACAGCAGTTTGAAAGATACTAATTTAGGAGATTACTCTGTGAAGATAATAAATGGATTCTTGATCATTTGTTCATTTACTCTACGGAGTATTATTTGCAAAGCAGTGTTTTAACTGCTTGTAGTATTCCAAGAGAGTTAGATACAGCCCCTGATCTTATAATCAATCACTTGTGCTTATTTAATCTCAAAGTTCAGTTAAAATATAGTAATATAGACATATAGTGTGAATTTTTCATGAATCATCTGTCCTTTCTGGCTCATGCTTTGATACTTATTGCTAGATATATTTGCAGAGATTTTCTGTGACTTGACCTTTTTACTTATCTGTTCATAATTTTAAGTCTTATCTGTTTGTGACATTACAGTGATTTCTATGGAAACAACATTCAGAGCTTCCCAAAGAAACAGGAGTACTCTAATTTTTAAAGAAAGTGAATTTGGTAGTAGTGGTAGGGAGAAAGCATCTGAGCAAGAGAAAACAAAAGGTTACGGATTTTTATCAGCCGTCATAGTTTTTCATTTTTCTAATTTGAATAAATAAAAGCTGTTTTATAAAATAGAAATCCTCCTAATAGTGCCGTTATCTTTTTCAGTTCTAAATATTTATATTGTATCTCCTTACTATTTTACTTTAGTGAAATGTTCTCTTTACCTGTCATTTTTACCTGTCATATTTTTTAAAAATATGGTCCTGAGGTGTTCATCTTACACTATTTTTTTTTTTTTTGAGACAGAGTCTTACTCTATTGCCCAGGCTAGAGTGCTATGGCATCAACCTAGCTCACAGCAACCTCCAACTCCTGGGCTCAAGCAATCCTCCTACCTCAGCCTCCCGAGTAGTTGGAACTGCAGGCATGTGCCACCGTGCCTGGATAATTTTTTGTATGTATTTTTAGTTGGCTAGCTAATTTCTTTCTGTTTTTAGTAGAGATGGGGTCTCGCTATTGCTCAGGCTGGTTTCAAACTCCTGAGCTCTAACGATCCGCCTGCCTTGGCCTCCAAGAGTGCTAGGATTTCAGGCATGAGCCACTATGCCCGGCCCTTACACTATTTTTAAGTAATATTGTTTAGGCTTTAAATAATAGTTCATACATTCATAGAAGATGGCTTCAGATACACAAAAAAAATGGAACTTTGGGTCACTATTAAAATGAGTGCAAACTCTCCATTTCCATATTTCTCCAGTGAGCTGCAAAACTTCCATTGAGACTCCTCAAGATACATCATGATTGTAAACTCTCTATAGACCTTAAGTTGTGATAATTTAAAAATGTTACATAATTTGCTTTGAGGAAGTCAATACTTCAATTTACTTTTTTCTCCATTAACCACTTAAACTAATTTTCATAAATAAGCACATAGTAATGATTTTAGGTTTTTGAGATAATGTCCCATTTAACTCTCCATAGTCAGTGTTGAGACCTTATCAAGTATTAATATACTGAGGGCCAGGGACAGTGTTCTTAGACTGTGTTCTTGGCTATGAATTATAGATGAAAGGGTTTCCAGATTTGAAGGAAGTTGATTATGGAAGAGTTCTTGGAGAAGGTTAAAAATATGCTACCGATGAAAGATGATAGACAATTGAACATAAGACATAAAGTTTTCCAAAATGATTTTCAGTTGTAGCATTTATAAACATCTATAAATGTTGTCATTGTTATTTATATCGATTTTTCTTGGAATTATTCTTTCTTCTTTTTCTATTGAGTGTTGTTTTCCACTGTATGAATGTACCACCATTTATCCATTCACCTATTGAAGGGCATCTTGGTTACTTCCAAGTTTTGGCAAATGTGAGTAAAGCTGCTATAAACATCTGTGTGCAGGTTTTTGTGTGATCAGCTTATTTGGAGCATGATTGGTAGACTGTATGGTAAGAGAATATTTAGTTTTGTAAGAAACTGCCAAACTGTATCTCAAAGTGGCTGTACTATTTTGCATTCCCACCAGCAATGAGAGTTCCTGCTATTCCACACCTTCACCATCATTTGGTGTCATCGGTGTTTTGGATTTTCATCATTCTAATGGGTATGTAGTTGTAGCTCCTTGTTTAATTTGCTATTCCCTAATGAAATATGATGGTGAGCATTTTTTCATATGGTAAGGTGTCTGCTCAGATCTTTTGCCCATTTTTTAATTGGATTATTCATTTTCTTATTGCTGAATTGCTCTAGTTGTTATATTATGAAATGAATGATGAAAACATACAAGACACATCACCAAGGAAGATATACAAATAGCAAATAAGCACATGAAAAGATGCTCAACATCATTAATAACAGGCAAAATGCAAATGAAAACACAATATGATATTACTACATACCCACAAGAATGATTAAATTAAAAAGACCGATAATACTAAGTGTTGGCAAGTTGTGGAGAAACTGGAACCTCCGTGGATTGCTAGTGGGAATTGTAAAATAGTATGGCCACCCTGGAGAACAATTTGGCAGTTTCCTTAAAAGCTAAATGTGCAGTTACCATACAAGCTACCAACTTGACTCTTAGGTATCCACTTCTAAGAAATGAAAAACATTTCCACACAAATACTGGTACATGAATATATATAGCCATATTATTTGTAACAGCTAAAAAACTGAAAACATGTAAATGTCCCTCAACTAGGGAATGGATAAGTAAACTACATCTACATAATGACTATTATTCACAATAAAAAGAAACAAACTTGATAAATGCAACTATATGGATGTACCTCAAAAACATAATGCTAAATGATAAAAGACATTTTGTGATCCTATTTATATGAAATTCTAGAAAAGGTAAAATTATAAACATGGAAAGCACATCATTGGTTGCCTACAACTGACCATGATCAGTTTATATGAAATTCTAGAAAAGGTAAGAAAATTATAAATATGGAAAGCACTCCGTGGTTACCTATAACTGACTATGGGAGCAGAGATTGGCTGCAAATGTCATCACAACGGAGCTGTTAGAGGTGATAGAGTGTTCCAGAACTACATTGTCGTGGTAGTTGCACAACTTCATAAATATATTAAGACTCATTGTTTGCATTATGCAATTAAAATGTGTGATTTTTGTGGTACATAAGGTTACCTCAATACAATAAACAAATATATGATAATGTGTTTTATCTTTTTTCTGCCTAGGTAATTATCTGTGAGAAATTTTCTGAGAAGCTAGTAGAATTTCCACTGCTAGCTTCTTGGTACCAGAGGATTCAGGAAGTGCCAGGAGTAAAAGCAGCAGCTTCCAAGTGTGGGATCCAATTTCTTCATTTACCAGAGTTGTTGAGTCCCTCAAATGAACAGCATCCAAACTTAAATGACATGCCTGGTGGAGAAGAGCAAAATGATCCTTTATTCATAGGAGGACCGAGACCAACTATGACCAAGTTAATGGTATTTAAATTGCTTCATTAAAATTTTCTTTGAAAAGTTCCATATGAATAATGTTGCTTAGTATTCTGGCCCAACTTGTCATTATTTGTCAGCATTATTTTTGTTGTAAATTTTATTTGTAGCTATCTTACATTACTCTTTACCAATTAATATTTCCACTAGTCTGTTGCATTTAAGCAAAGTATAGTAAATTGAAGATTTTTAATGTGCATCTTTGGAGCCAAGAAAGTCACAATATACTTTAAAAAAGCATTTTTCTCAAAACATTTTTTTATATTCAGGTGTGTTATTTTAACCTGATGTTTTCCTAGTGCAAGGTTTTGGTCTCAGTCTCTTTTAGTTTGAGATGATGATTTGAAGTTAAAGAAATATAAAGGTGAATATCTCAATTTACTTTCTAAGTCTAAATTTACAACGTTGAAATTCTTTGAATTTTATTTTTAGTTTAATTTTTTATTTTAATGTGTCTGTTATATAATGAGAATACATATGATTTTTTTTCCTCTTTGGGGCATAACTTGTTTCTTTTCTTTTACTTTTTTAAATTTGAGACATGGCCTCCCTCTGTCACCTGGGCTAGAATGCTTTAGATGTGATCATAGCTCACAGCAACCTCAAACTCTTGGGTTCAAGTGATCCTTCTACGACAGCTTCCCAAGTAGCTAGGACTACAGGCACACACTACCATGCCCAGCTAATTTTTTATTTTTTGTAGAAAAATGTCTTCCTATGTTGCCCAGGCTGGTCTCGAACTCCTAGCTTCATCTCAAGCAATCTTCCTGCTTTGGCCTCCCAAAGTGCTAGTAGTACAGGCATGAGCCACTGCTCCCAGCCTCATAATTTGTTTTTTTTTGTTTGTTTGTTTCTAATAATACCAATTATAAAGTTTTCAATAATAGGTTTTCTTTTCCCTACCATTTGAAATAGTGTGCAAAAATGTTTTGCTTTTAATAGATGATTTGAAGATTTATTTAAATAGAGGATAATTTATGAAATAAATTATTCATCTGAGTTGTACTGAAAGAATATTCATTATATTTTCCTATTTGGATGAGGAAGTATTTGAGTTTTGTAGAGAATGGAAAGTTTACTTATTTAGAAATGTACAAGAAGACTTTGGTAGGGATACTCTTTAGCTAAACTCTGTAGCCTGTAGATAAAATAATGAAACATGATTATACAAATGATTTTAGAAGTTATCAAGCATGTCTAGATTTTGATGTCTCTTTTTTTTTGAGACAGAGTCTAATTCTGTTGCCCAGGCTAAAGGCCGTGGCATCAGCCTAGCTCTCAGCAACTTCCAACTCCTAGGCTCAAGCGATCCTCCTGCCTCAGCCTCCCAAGTAGCTGGGACTACAGGTGTGCGCCACCATGCCTGGCTAATTTTTTCTATATATTTTTTGTTGGCCAATTAATTTCTTTCTATTTTTAGTAGAGATGGAGTCTTGCTCTTGCTCAGACTGGTCTCGAACTTCTTACCTTGAGCGATCCTCCTGCCTCAGCCTCCCAGAGTGCTAGGATTATAGGCGTGACCCACCGTGCCCTGCTTGATGTCTCTTAATTAGATGGTTACACAGTTGAGGGATTTCTGGTTCACTTCTTGAGTAGGTATAGGCATTATTCTTTGAATGATGAAAATATTCTAAAATTAAATAGTGGTAACAGTTGAACAACTGTGAATATTCTAAAAACCACTGAACTACCTGCTTTAAATGGGTACATTTTATGGTATATGTAATAAATTATATGTCAATATGGTTATATTTTTAAAAAGACCCTAAGGTAGGAATAAATTAATTGAAATGAGGAATAGCAAGGTGTGGCTAGACTAGAGTAAAGAAGATAGAAGAGAAGCAGATGATGTCAGAGAGATGTGTTTATCTTTCTGGAGGCAAATGAGTGCTCTAGATTTCTAGATCAATAATTAGATCTCTATCCATAACAAAAGGACATATTATTTCTTTTGGGACTCAAATCAAGCTAGTTTTTGTAATGGAAAGTAATCTCAAAGTAACTGATACAAAAGGGTTCAATGCTGGATTCTCAGTGATTTTTCTTTTGCATAGGTTGATCCTAGAGATAAAAATACCTGAACCGTGGATAGTAGATATGCTGTGGACTATGGACCTAGCATGTAATCGGCAGGGGTCTGTGGGTCCACGTGTATGTCATGTACTGTCTGTAGATCCAATAAATAAATGTACCTCTTCTAACATGCGGAAGGGACCTGAGAATTTTTTTAATATATTGAAAAGTGGTTTCATTCTTGAAAATGTTGGAAACTATCTGGCTAAACCAGAGGAATCCTTTTCTAGAGACATTACAGGCACTTTTAAAGGACTGGTATGAGTGATGTTTTGGGATACGTGTTGAAGTGGCAGCATTTTAGTGCTGTAAGCATAGCTCGTGGGCTTTGGCAGTTTTCATATATGTAAAGCAGACATTGATGGACATATAAAAAGTCACTTTTTTATTATCTGTGTCTGGATTGTTTTTGCTAAAATTTATCTTCAGCTGACTTTTTACTATCCAATATATTTCTAGGTTCCTTGTTCTATGTATTTTTTAGTAATAATTTAAAAATAGCATTACTTTTTATTATCTCAATATAAAAAATAATAGGCAAGTAACTGTCCTATCAAAAACCCCAGCATATTGTATTTTTTATGTAATGAATAAATATTTGGGGGAATCTCTGATGATTATTATTATTTATGCTCCTCTTTGCCAGTATAGAAAATAGAAATTTGGCTTTCAAGAACATAATAAGAGTTTATTAATTCATTAATTGGAAAGAGGATATTTCCTTTCTAGGAAAAAGGCATCGAAGTGATGTTTTCTCCCCACCCTTGCCCTACTTGGACCCTGGATTGGAATGGTCTCCCTGCAGCAGTGAGCCCAAAGGAAGGTGAGGGGGTTTATTTTTTCTTTAAGTTTTACTCACAATCTGGATATTCTCTTCAGATCTGTCTTTCAATTCTCTAGTTCTCTTTTTGGCTTTATCTAATATTCCGATCACAGTATTCATTGAGTTTTCATTTTATTCTTATTGTGAAAAATTTTTTAGATACATATCACTCAGATTTAATATTTCCCACATTTTATTTTTATACATTTGTTTCATCTATTCCTTTTTTGTTCTTTGCTGCTGTATTTTGAAAAAAATCCCAGATAACTTTAGTATACACCTGTAAAAAATATTGACATCTTAAATAATCACAATGCCATTATCATACCTAATGCAAATTAACAAAAATCCTGGATCATCTAATGACTAGTTCATAATACATTTCCTCCAATTGTTTAAAATACTGTTTGAAAAAATATCTTTTTATTTTTTTTTTAGATTTAATGGCATTATTTTATTAGAGTTCATTTTACTGCAACTTGGAAAGCAAAAAATATCTTTTTATTGTTAATTTGTGGTTAAATTATTATATTTTTCATTGCTAGAAATTTTATTTGGTTTGTTTGTTTTTGATAATCTTTTCCTTGCTTGTGTTTGTTTCCTCTTTTTAATTTTTTAAGCAGTTATTATATATTCTGTGTTTGTTATTTCTAATAGTTGATGTTCATAGAGTTCTAATTCTGCTGTTTGTTTTTTCTGTTGACTTCACTTCTGGTGTTTTATCTCCCTGTGAATTTTGTAATTTTAGATTGTGAATTTATTTTGGGGTTACTCAATATGTGGGAATCTTATGGGGCTTGGATTAAGAGTAAATTCCCACAGAAAGGGATTATATTTGCTTATGCCAGGCATTTCAAGGTACAAGAACTTAAGACCACTTAGTGTTTGTTTTCAGCTTCAGTTTCAGATGTTTTTAAAATTTCTTATTTTATTTTTATCATTTTTTTTGAGTAACACATAATCATTATACATATTTATGGGGTACAGTGTGATATTTTGATACATGTATACAATGTGTAATGATCAAATCAGGGTAATTAGCTTATCCATCTCCGCAAACATTTATCATTTCTGTGTATTGGAAACATTTAAAATCTGCTCTTGTAGCTATTTGAAAATGTACAATAAATTATTGTTAATTCATAGTCACCCTATAGTGCTACAGAACACTAGAGCCTGTTCCTCCTACCTAGCTGTAATTTTGTATCCATAAATCACACTCTGGCTATATCCCCCATACCCACTTCCCAGGCTCTAGTCACCACTATTCTCTGCTCACTAATTCTGTGAGATCAACTATTTTACCTTCCAAATATGAGTGAGAACATATGATATTTTTCTGTGCTCATCTTATTTTACTTAATATAATGTCCTCCAAGCTCATCTATATTGGTGTGAATGGCAGGATTTTGTTTTTTTTAATGGCTATAGTATTCTGATGTGTATGTATGCTACATTTTCTTTATCCATTCATCTGTTGGTGGACACTTAGGTTGATCCTATATCTTGGCTATTGTGGATAGTGCTACAATAAACATGGGAGTACAGATATTTCTTTGACATACTGATTTTCTTTCTTTTGAACATATATCCAGCCATGGGATTGCTGGGTCATATGGTAGTAAAGAAGATAGAAGAGAAGCAGATGATGTCAGAGAGACATCAGGTAGTTCTATTTTTAGTTTTTTGAGGAAACTCCATACTGTTTTCCATAATAGCTGTACTAATTTACATTTCAGCTAACAGTGTATAAGAATTTCCCTTGCTCCCTTGCCAGCATTTATTATTTTTTGTCTTTATAATAATAGCCATTCTAACTGGGGTGAGATGATATCTTATTGTGGCTTTGATTTGTATTTCTCTAATGATTAGTGATATTGAGCAGTTTTGCATATGCCTGTTGGCCATTTAAATGTATGCCCATTTTTAATGGGTTTATTTATTTGTTTGTTTATTTGCTGTTGAGTTGTTTCAGCTTCTTGTATATTCTGGATATTAATTCCTGTTGGATGAATAGTTTGCAAATATTTTCTCCCTTTCTGCTAGTTATCTCTACACTTTGATGTAATCTTATTTGTCTCTTTTTACTTTTGTTACATGTGCTCTTGAGGTCTTATCCATAAAATGTTCAGAAGCATTTCCCACGTGTTTTATTCTAATAGTTTTATAGTTTTGGATTTTATATTTAATCTTTAATCCATTTTGATTTGATTTTTGTATATGGTGAGATATAGAGATCTAGTTTTATTCTTCTGCATATGGATATCTAGTTTTCCCAGCACCGTTTAATGAAGAGACTATACTTTCCTCAATGAATGTTTGGCACCCTTGCTGAAAATGAGTTGACTGTAAATGGGTGGATTTATATCCAGGTTCCATTGGTCTATGTGTCTGTTTTTATGCCAGTACCATGCTGTTTGTGTCTTTAGGTTTGTAGTATATTTTGAAGTTAAGTAGTGTCATGCCTTCATATTTGTTCTTTTTGCTCAGGATTGCTTTGGCTATTTGGGCTCTTTTTTGGTTCCATAGGAATTTAGGATTGTTTTTTTCTATTTCTGTGAAGAATGTCATTGGTATTTTCATGGGGATTGCATTGATACTGTACAGTGCTTTGGGTAGTATGGACACTTTAACAATATTTATTCTTCCAGTCCATGAATATGGAACATCTTTCCATTTTTGTTTGTGTCTCCCCTTCAGTTTCTTTCATTCACGTTTTATAATTTTCATTGTAGTGATCTTTCACTTCTTTGGTTAAGTTTATTCCTAGGTATTTTATTTTATTTGTAGCTATCGTAAATGGTATTACTTTCTTGGTTTCTTTTTCAGGTTGTTTGCTGTTGGCATATAGAAATGCTGCTGATTTTTGTATGTTGATTTTGTATAATGCAACATTACTGAATTGGCAGCAAATACCCTGAAATGGCAGTGCACACTTGTTATTTGGGCCCTGATGTGCAGGGAGCAGCACAGCAATGACTCCACTTTCCTGGGAGATGGATGTTTCAGCAGATCAAACTCTAGGAGGCTAGTTGAGGTCCAGAGAATCAGGGTGCTAGAGTTGTTAGGCTTGTAGGGTGGGCTGTCTCAGCTTAGCTACTTCCATTTTCCTGGGATGCCAGATACTATGTCAACTCAGCCCTGGGGTGTATAGCTGCTCAGCTAGGCCAGGGCACTACTTCCCCAGTGGGTGATGTGCCTCTTCACCTCAGGCCAAGAGTCCAGGCACTATTTCCCTGGGATGCTGGGCACCATATCAGCGTAGCTATGGGTGACCATTCTGGGAGGCAGGGCATTGCTTTAACTTAGGCACTGGGGAGGCGTGACTGCCTGGGCAGCAAAGATGCCATTTTCCTAGGAGATAGAATACTGCTTTAGCTTAGGCATAGAGGAGAGTAGTTACAGACTGCTGTAGTTACCCAAGGCATTGTTTCCCTGGGATGGCTTGTGTTGCTTCAGCTCCGGCAGAGCAGGGCAGGGTTCCGTAGCAACAAGGAGAGGTTTTTAGAACAGATCTTCCAAGGCGCGGTTTTCTTAGGAGGCAGTGTGTGGCTTTAGCCCAGGCCTTTAGGGGCAGGGTGCAGTTACAACTGAGAGAGATGATGAAGTGATTCTACCAAAGCACCATTTCTCCAAGAGGGAGGGTGTGACTTCAGCTCCATCCACAACTGAGGACTGGGATATGGGAGGGGGTGGGGAAGCCCCTGCACTGCTGCTTGGCCTTGGGGAAAGGGTATAACATCTGGTTGCAGCTCTGCTTGGGGTTGTAAGCCACCGAGTGGGTGTGGTTTGGCAGTTTCTTAGTCCCAGAGATGAGGGATGCCATGGGCCTAGCCCTGGAGCAAGGCGCACTCCAGCAGTAGTTCCACTTTGAAGATGGCATTGTGAAGTAGCCACACGGGCCACGGGGGCCAGGGCACAGAATCGACTCCTTCTGGGGCTGGGGAGAGCACAGCAGTGGGGCCTCCAAGCAGCTCCCTGAGTCTGGCTTAGTGCCCGTGAGGATTGCAGGGGACCCCAGATGTGAGGAATGTAGGTATCCAAGGTGTGATGCTGGGATCCTCTTCCTTACCTTTCCCCACAGGAAGGAGTTCCTCCTGGTTCCTAGCTCATCCCTTTTGGGGGGTGGGGGGGAGGTGTTTCCTTCATTTCTCTGGGTGGCTGTCCTGAGTTTCAGTGGTCACTGGGATTTCTCTTACTCCTTTGATGTACTCCAGTGTTCTCCTTTAATTAGTTTTATTAAAATATAGCTGTTTATTATTTGTTGAGGCTGTCTTTTGGGGGAGTAATAAGCTATAGGGGCTTCTGGTTGGTCATCTTGCTGACATCTTAAGCTCAGATTCTCTAAGCCTTTTCTATCTGGAACTGAAACTTAAACAGATAAATTACCTTATCATTTTGCTTTGTTGTTGTGCTGGACTTTGTAATGGATCTTATCAGAGGGAATATAACTTTTCAAGGTTTCTGCTTTCATGTAGTAATATTAGCTCCAACTCAACCCCATGCTGGGGATCAAGGCCCAGTCTCTCTTCTTTGTCCTGCTGTTAAAGTCTAGGTCACTATTATTAGCAAATACCTTTAGGGCAGCCATGGTGTTGGTTCAAGATTATTACACCAATTTTCAGCCCTGCCCCCCACCACCACTTTTTTGCTCCCCCACATTTTTTGAGGCCCTATGGATTTTCTTTATTCTCAGAAACCTATTAGACATGTAAAGGATGCCTGTTAAATTATAAATACAATTTTTAGGTAGAAAATTTTTTAGAATAGCTCAGTGTTTTATTTCTTCAATTATTCACCTCTTCTTTAGTTTTATATTTAGCCAAGTATAACTTGATTTTCAAATCCTCTTTGAAAGAGTTTACCTTCCCTTTTGATATTCTTCTTTTCTTTAATGCTGCCTAATATTGTCTGTATCTCATAGATCAATTGTATTCTGTCAATCAAGAAAATAATTTATGAATTCTTCCAGAAAGGAAGGTTATATTGGGGAATTAAGA